CTCTACTTTTGTATTTCATTTTTCAAGTGGCATTGTGTTTGTAATTTCAGTGTTCTCGTGTTGAATTTGGGCAAATGTTTTTTATACACTGCTTGATATGGTCATGGATATTTTTCTTCTTTAACCTGTTAATATGATGGATTGCACTGATTCTGAATAATGAACTAGCCTCACATCCCTGGAGTAAACTCCATTTGATCATGGTGTATAACTTTTCATTTTACATATCACTATTTTATTTGCTAGATTTTGTTAAGATTTTTTGCATCTGAAAAAAATTTTTTTGCATCTGTATTTATGAAGGATATTGTTCTGTAATTTTTCTTTTTGGTCTTTGCCTGGTTTTGGTATTTCTATAATATTAGCTTCATAAAGTAATTTAGGAAATGTTCCCCCTTCTTCTGTTTTCTGAAAGAGATTGTGTAGAATGGTGTTAGTTGTTCCTTAAATGTTTAGTAGAATTCGCCAGTGAAAATATCTGGACTTGGAGATTTCTTTAAGGAGTTTGACAAAAATTCAATGTCCTTAATGGTTATAGGACTATTCAAATGACCTATTTTGAATTGGGTTAGTTATGATGGTTTGTGTGTGTGTTTTTTTTTTTTTTTTTTTTTTTCCTGAGGAACTGGTCCATTTGGTCTAAGTTCTCAAATTTATGTATGTCAAATTATTTGTAGCACTCTCTTATTATCCTTTTGGTGTCTGTAGGGTTTGTAGTGATATGCTGTTTCAATCCTGAGAGTGATAATTTGTGTTTTCTCTCATTTTTAATTTGCCAGTCTTACTAGAATGTAGTCCATTTTATTGACCCTTTATTCCCCCGTTTATCCCCTTGGGAGAGAGAGGGAATGAATAGGAGGAAGGGGCAAAGGGAAAGAGAGAATCTTAAGCTCAGCATGGAGCCTGATGCAGGGCTGGATCTCATGACCCTGATCTCATGACCTGAGCTGAAATCAAGAGTCTGATGCTTACTTAACTGAATTAGCCACCTGGGTGCCCCGATTTTATTGATCATTTAAAAGAATGAGGTCTTTATTTATTTTCTGTATCATTTTCTGTATTTATGTTCTACTTTCTTCCATTTACTATTTCCTTCTGTTTGTATTGTGATTCCTTTGTTCTTCTAGGTTCTCATGGCTGGAAGTTAGATTATTATTTTAGATTTTTCCTCTTTTCTAATGTGTACATGTAGTATTATAAATTTCCCTCTCTGCACTGCATTCACTGTGTCCCACACATTTTAATATGTGGTACTTTCATTTTCATTCTGCGATGTATTTTTTTATTTTCCTGGACTCTTTCTTTGACCCATGCGTCATGTAGAAGTGTAGTAGTTTCCAAGAGTTTTAGATTTTTAAGTTATCTATTATTGATTTCTAGTTTGATTCTGTTGTAGTCAGAGAAAATGATGTATAATTTCAATTTTTTTTAAGATTTTATTTGAGAGAGAGAGAGAGAGAGAGAGAGACAGAGAGAGCATAGCAGGGGAAGAAACAAAGGGAGAGGGAGAAGCAGACTCCCCACTGAGCCCGCCACGCCACCGGGATGGATCCCAGGACCCTGAGATCATGACCAGAGCTGAAGGCAGATGCTTAAACAGCTGAGCCATTCAAGGGCCTCTAATTTCAAGTTTTAAATATTTGTTGAGGATTGTGTTATGGCTCAGGATGTGGTCTTTTTAGACATACATCCTTTGGGCACTTGAATGTGTAATCTGTTGTTGGACAGAGTGTCCTATAAGTATCAGTTAGGTCTTGTTGGCTGATGCTGTTGTTGAGTTCTCCTATGTCCTTGATAATTTTCTGTCTCCTTGTCCCATGGTTGTTGAAAGAGGGTTGTGGAAATGTCCATCTACCTGTGTAATGTGTTTATTTCTCTCTTCAGTTATGTAGACTTTTGTTTCCCATATTTGGCATACACATGTTTAGGATTGCTATGTCTTCCTGGTGGATGGCCTCTGTTATCATGACACAGTGTTAATGTTTCTGGTGATTTTCTTTCCTCTGAAGTTTACTTTATCTGGTACTAATCTAGATACTCCTGCTTTCTTCTGCTTTGTATTTCTGCCCTTTATTTTCAACGTGCTGCTATTATTCTACTGGAGATTAGTTTCTTGTAGGCTGCATTTAGTTGAGTCATGTTTTTAAGTCCACTCTGCCAATTCCTGTCCTTTAATTGATGAGTTTAGACTACTACATCTTATGTAATTATTGATATTTTGGGCTAATCTGCCATTTAGTTTTTGTTTTCTGTTTGTTTTTATGTTTCCTCAATGCAATGTTTAGTATTCACATCTATTAGATTTCTTTTTTTTTTTTTTTAAGATTTTATTTATTTATTTGACAGAGAGAGATCACAAGTAGAGAGGCAGGCAGAAAGAGGGAGGGAAGCAGGCTCCCTGCTGAGCAGAGAGCCCGATGTGGGACTCGATCCCAGGACCCTGAGATCATGACCTGAGCCGAAGGCAGCGGCTTAACCCACTGAGCCACCCAGGCGCCCCCACATCTATTAGATTTCTAATAGCATATTGTTTTTTGCCTAATTGCAAAATTAGTGGATAAAACCCACCAATGTTCTGTTCAATATTAAATATTCCTGGTATTAGTTCATCTAATGAGTCATCCTTTCATCCATCCTTTCAAGAGACACTGAACCTCTGCTCTGGGCAGGAATTGTCTTACGAAGCATTACTTTCTCAGATATTTCTTTTCTATCCCAGTTCTTTGGTGGCATGTTTCCTCTGGCTGCCGTGGGAAATCACCACTACCTGGATAGCCTAAAACGACAGAAATTTATTCTCTCACTGTTCTGGAGGCCAGAAGTCTGAAATCAGTATCACCAAGTGGAAATGAAGGTGTCAGTGGGTCTCTAAGGGGGAATCTGTTCTTTGTCTCTTCCGGTTTCTGGTGGGGGTTGCCATTCCCTGACTGTTGGCGGCTGCGTTCCCATCTCTGCTCTGCAATCAGATTCCCTTCTTCTGTTTGGTCTGCCACCTTCTCTAAGTGTCTTTTTTAAGGAAACTTGTTCTTGGGTTTATAGCCTACTTGGATTATCCAGGATGATCTCTTGGTTTTGAGATCCTTTGTCAAATTAATGTAACATTCCCAGGTTCTGGGATTAGGATGCAGACATATCTTATGGAGGGGCTGCCATGTGACCTGTTAGAAGGGTAGTTGATCTTTGAACAACGTGGGTTTGATGGCTTATATGCACAACAAGTTGGCTTATATGCATTTTTTTTTTCAGTAAATGCAGTGCATACATGTATTTTTATCTTACGGATTTATTCGTAACATTTTATTTTCTCTATTTGTAAGATTATAGTATATGATATGTATACAAAATATTTATTAATCTACTATGTTATCAGTTAGGCTTCCCATCAGCAGTAGTTACGTGTTGGGGGAGTTGAAAGTTACATGCAGATTTTTGACTACATGGGGGGACAGCACCCCCTAACCCCATGTTGTTCAAGGGTCACCTGTAGTATATGCAACTTTAATTTCCCCTTTTTGATCTTCTTCCCATCGTGGCATGGGTCTCCTCTTTTACTCTTTTCTCATTTCCTTTTTGGGTTTGTCTTTACAAGTATTCACTTTGAGAGTGTCAAGGATGTGAAAAGATTGTACTGACCTGTATTTCATTGCCATGTTGCAACAGAGGGAAAAGCCTTTCTTCACAATGGGGGAGCTCCATTTAGCATCAGGATATGCTTCTTTTTTTTGTTTTGTTTTGTTTTGTTTTTCCCCCCAAATTTTATTTAAATTCTAATTAGTTAACATACAGTGTAATATTGGTTTCAGGAGTAGAATTTAGTAATTCATTACTTACATATAACTTCCAATGCTCATCATAACAAGTACCCTCCTTGATACCCATCCTCCATCAGCCCTCAATTTGTTCACTATGGCTAAGAGTCTCTTATGGTTTCCTTCCCTCTTTCTCTCTTTTTTCCCCTTCTCTTTTGTTTATCTCATATAAGTGAAATCATATGGCATTTTCTTAGGATATGCTTCTTATTAACAGACGTTATTAAACTCTGAAGCCAAAAATGTAATACCTTATGAAATTCTTTAAGAAAACATGTTAAGGTCTTATGTACAGATAATCACAAAAGTTATATTTGAGGTGGTAAATAAAAATAATTTTAATTAAAATCAGTATCATGGTGTCGGAATTAACATTTAAATTGGTATTGCAGTCAGTCAAGAAAAAGTAGCATTTCCATCTCAAGTGGTGCCACATTGATTAGTATCTTTCTAATGTATGTTTCAAGTATGTGCATAGGTCGCTTAGCTAATGTTTTCGAAGACTTTTCTGTGTGGAAATAGTTTTTCAGAAGAATTTGAACACCTTTTCCGGGTAGTTAGGCCCCTACCGTATCACCGAGATTATTTTGGGAAAGTCTTACTGACCTAATGAAATAATGTTATATCCAAAGGTACCATGTAAATATACCTCACTGAACTTTGGGGATAATGAATAATCTTTAAGAAGTTTCTGGCAACATTTAGAGTCCAGCTAGTCCAACAGTGGTTTCACTGGACCAGAAGAAAGTTGTGCGACTCTGTGGTAGTCGATTTTGTTGCTGTCCCTGCTGTTGTTAATGGTTATTAATATTTTATCATAGTGAACTTTTACAACATCCATACTTTTTTAAAATAAAATACAGCAAACTGGCAGATCACAGGAAAAAATAAGGTAGTGTTTTAAAGGAAGTATTTGAAAATTGCCTCGAGAATTTTAGACTTAAGACACATATGTAGAGTCCTGTTTTAGCATTAGCATAATTAATATCTTCATGCATTTGTTATAAGATTTACTTAATGAAGTTTCAGGTCTGGTTTTATTTTTATATCTAAATGTGTGTTTAAAGTTTAAAACTTTGTCAGATGTCTCAGCATGTATCATTAAAAGCAGATTAATCCCTGCTTTTTATAGTTGTAAGCTAGGCGTTTGGCTTGTAATTACAAATTTTGAATTTGTGTTTTCTTTGTAAGTGCTGGCCAAGATATTCAAGGAACAAGTGTGATCGCAAATCTTCCATTTCTGATGCGACAGAATCCTGCTGAGACACTTCGGAGAGTCTTGCCGAAAGTTAGAGTAAGTTGGTGCAAAAAAAGGTTTGAATTTACCATTTTTCCAGTCACACATTGTCATTATTAAGAGGAGATTTCAGAGTTTTGAATGGCTGATCTTTTGTTCTGATTGTGGCATGGAGGAAGTATTATGGTACACATTTTGAATTATATTGAAAATATTTAGGAAAAGTAGCTAATGAAAATGGGAAAATCCAGATCTTAAGTTGTATTTAGTCATTTTCTCGGTAGAGACATTTTATTTATTCTATTTATTTTTTAAAAAGATTTATTTATTTTAGAGAGAGAGTGCATGTAGCCATGGGGGTGGGAAGAGGGAGGAGGGGCAGAGGGAGAGGGAGAGAGTCTCAAGCAGACTCCTTGCCAGGTGTGGAGCCAGATGCGGGGCTTGATCAGATGACCGAGGTCACGACCTGATCCTAAATCACAAATTGGACACTTCATTGACTGCACCACCCAGGTGCCCCAAGATGTTTTATTTAATAAAGTTAGCTTTTCAGTAGCTCAAAAACAAAAAACCAAAAAACAAAACCAAAAACAAACCAAAACTTCATTAGTCTTATGAAATCATAGCTATCTTTTTTGGTATTCTGTTGACTTAAATTTATATTAATAGCAGTTCTACAACATGGATAATGAAATTTAACTAATATTCCTAATAACCACTCTCCGGTGACTTCTAAAGAATCACCAAATAAAGATTGAATTGCGGCCATCACAGTTTTAGTTTTGTATTCATTTATTGCTTCCTAAATTCCCTCCAAATTAGTTTGCCTGATTTAAACAAAAATCTTTGATTTTTTTCGAACATTCTTTTCGCTGATATTTAATATTTATTGATTATTAATATATAATATTACATATTTGTGTAATACATAATAATACTTTTTGTTATTTATCTGTGGCTGTGTACAAAGTATTTTTCTTATTTGTACCTGAATGAGCAACATGGATAACAGCCTACCTGTCCTCAGGGAACTTACCCACTATTTAGGGTCAGGGAGGTTATAGACTAATGCGGACTATGTTTGCTGATAGTGAATTTTGTATATTTTGCGTTGGCTTTCTGATTGGTTATAAGTTCATAATTTTTTATTAATTTATGTGTTTAAAATACTGTAATTAAAATACTGGGATCATGTTCTTGAGTTTCATTTTTAGCCATACGCATCATGGTTCTGGTCGCTATGATTTAGGGATATAGCATGTTATTTCTACAAGATGCCCACATTTCTATGCAGGCATTATGAATTTCTTTTTACTGGTTACGATAGTAAATTGAGAAAATGTTTCTTTTGGCTTTGCATGTGATTCAAAAGTGAATCAGTTTTTCATAGCTATTTTTCCCAGAATCATGCTGTATTTTCAATGGCATTAAGTGTCCCCCATCCAGGTTTAATTTCACATTCAATTTCAATGATAGCAGCTGACCTAAGCTTCTTGGCATGACTACTGGAAGTGCCAGTTAAATGATAGTAGAAGGGAACAAGTGGCTAGGCCCCCTTGACTAAGAAATTATTGTAGGTAAGTGAATTCAATTTAAAGCTAAAAATACCGAGCCTGCTATACAGTCTGCAGAGCAGGCTAAATCTGGTTCACGGACAGTCTACTGAGCATCCATAGTTTCTTAAAGCAAGAATAAAAGATGAAGGTTGGCCTTTAGAGGTTTCAAAATTATTTTGAAAAAATCCTTTTGTTAATGAGTTCATAATAAAGTCAAGTATAACTCCTGAAAAATCTTGATTTCATGGGAATGTGTAAAGAATATTATACATTCATATATATAGCATATTTATACAAAGAATCAAATGTATTTGCTGAAACTATATAACTGAGTTATAGAAGATAAGATTTTAATCAGCTTTTAAGGTAATTAAAGTTAATCCATAATATAGAAGGTTAACTAAATAAATGAATATAAAGAAAATGTATATTGATGAATATGTACTAAGAAAGCCTTTATTTATGCTGACAGTTTTCATTCCTTTCTTCAGTCAACAAACAGCCATTTATTTAGGATTCTCATTTATCCTGTTTTGTCCTAAAAAAGATACCAAAAGAGTAGAAGACATCCCAGATTAGAGTCTATGTCAGGGCGGCCTAAAGACTATGGAAAACAATTAAAGAACAATCATAGGAGAATATTTAATTGTGTGATTCTGACTTTGTGTAAAAATAGTGAAGAATTAAGTATATTTGAAAGACTTTGTGAGAGTAATAATAATGACTTATAGAAGGTTTAATATATATTATGGGCAGCTAAACATTTAAGCAACTCCATTTCAAATTGTAAAACTTATATTTCATGCAAATCATTTTTTAAAAAAATATTTTATCTATTTGACAGAGAGCAAGAGAGAGAATACAAGCATGGGGCGGGCGGGGTTGGGAGAGGGAGAAACAGGCTTCCTGCTGAGCAGGGAGCCCTATGCAGGGCTGGATTCTAGGGCCCTGGGATCATGACCTGAACTGATGGCAGATGCTTAATGACTGAGCCACCCAGGTGCCCCTGTGTAAATCATTTTTAAATCACGATATTCAGATATTGTTCAGATTTACTGGTACTCATAGTTAGCACCTTCTTCAGTTCTGCCTTGCTTCTGTGAATGGTTACATTTAAGTGATAAAACTGTGACAAAAATCACACTTAGCCACTTTATTCTCTTTTGCTATGACCATGAGTCCTTAGTTGATTTTATAAAAGAAAAAGAGCAGTCCCGTATCCCAAAGTGAGCATTTAGTAATAATGGCATTCTCATTCATTTGTGAATGTTGACTGAGTCCAGGCACTGTTGTAAGCAGTTGGAAGATAGAGGTGAACAAAACAGAACTTGCCCTCAAAGAGCGTCCTGTTCAGAGTGGGGGAAACAGACATAAAACACTTAAGTGACTTGAAGAACAGCATAAAGGGACAGGCTTATCTGCTGTGCATTGGGAAATCAAAGAAAGCCTCTTTCCAAGCTGAAAACCAAAGGCATAGGAGGAAGCAGCCATTTGAAGAGTCAGGAAGGAATGGTCCAGGCAGACGAGGTAGCAGAGAGCCCTAGGTTGGAACTGGAAGACACTTGTGGTTGGAATGCAGTGGGCATGGGCAGGGTGTGACTCGAAAAGAAGTTAGAGAGATCCTCAGTGACAGAGCACGCAGGAGGCGTTCTTTCTTAGGACAGTGGAAACCCTTTGAGCAGAGCGGTGGCTTATTCCCTTTACGTTTTACGATGCTGATCATTTTGATAATTGTGTGGCGAGTGGCTTGGAGCGGGAGAATTAGGAAGATACAGCACTTGTCCTTGTGATATATGAGGATGGCTTGGATTAGGCCAGCTGGCTGGGACAGAGGGGAGTAGTGGCTATCTTAGAGATACAGTTACTGAGGCGAAATGAACACAACTTTCTATGAATTGGTTGTGGGAGGTGAGAGATACCTTCTGGATTTCTGGGTTGAGCATCTGTATGGTTCTGCTGGTTCTGAGTGTCTTGGCTGGTTGCTTATTAAATCCATGGGAACAGTAGTTTGCATACTTACTAATCTGTGGATGATTTACTTTTAGAAAATTTAAAGATACAAACAACCGATATTCTGTGTGTAAGAAACTAATCATTCCTGAGATAGTTGGCACATTCACCAGAGGAGGATAAGCAGCTTTTAGAACTCACCTTTAGCTTATTTTCACCTTAAAGAGCATCAGACACAGTGATGAGGAAGCGCTTATAAAATTTCACCGGTGATATTTTTTATTGTTGTTGTAATTACATTTGCATTTCATCCTTAAAATAATATATTAATTGAACACCTTTTTTTTTTTAAAGATTTTATTTATGTATTTGATAGAGAGATAGAGAGCACAAGTAGGCAGAGCAACAGGGAGTGGGAGAGGGAGAAGCAGGCTCTCTGCTGAGCAGGGAGCCCAATGCAGGGCTTAATCCCAGAACCTTGCAATCATGACCTGAGCCAAAGGCAGACGCTTAACCGGCTGAGCCACCCAGGTGTTCCTGAACAATGGCTTTTAATACGGGTTGCTATTTTCACTGTTTTAGAGGTAAAAGAATTTAAAATTAAAAATGGCAGAAACAGGGCGCCTGGGTGGCTCAGCCGGTTAAAGCCTCTGCCTTCGGCTCAGGTCATGATCCCAGGGTCCTGGGATCGAGCCCCACGTCGGGCTCTCTGCTTACCAGGGAGCCTGCTTCCTCCTCTCTCTCTGCCTGCCTCTCTGCCTACTTGTGATCTCTATCTGTCAAACAAATAAATAAGATCTTTAAAAAAAATGGCAGAAACAGAGTCAGGACTAGAATTGAGCTAATCCATAGTATTTCTGCAATTTATTTTGTAAATTGTATCTGAAGTGTACAATGAATGATAATGCTACCAGGTCACTCATCTCAAGGTTAAGTTTAAATAAGAATCCAGGAAGGAAGTATTTTGACCTCCAACTTAAATTTCCTAGATTGGAGAACGTTTAAATATAGTTGTTATAATGTATTCATGTTCTACGAGTTAATCATAGAGAGGCTTTTGTAAAGAAATTTTTTTCCTGTGGTCTTTATTAAAATAGTCTGAATTCTTTTCCACAGTATAATAATTTGGAATCTTAGATGTTAGATTTCAATATTTGACTTGAACTTCTGGTTACTTAGAAGTAAAAGAATTTGACTTTCAAGATAAATTTCTAAATACTATGGTCTTTTATAAAATTTGAAGTGGTAGTGATATAATCATACCATGTAACATCTGTGATTCCTTTTAAAAAAAAAAAAGATTTTATTTATCTATTTGACAGACATTGAGAGAGGGAATATAAGCAGAGGGAGTGGGAGAGGGAGAAACAGGTTTCCTGCTGAGCAGGGAGCCCCATGCTGGGCTCTATCCCAGGACCCTGGGATCATGACCTGAGACGAGGGCAGACGCTAAACGACTGAGCCACCCAGGTGCTCTAGTGACTCCTTTTATAATGAATTGTGAAAAATGTCTCTGCCTGTTGAGTTATTGAATTCTTTTAATTGTTTTTC